GCCCCCCGGGCTCGGCCACCCCTACCCCGCACGGCAGTCGTGGCCCGGGATGCGGAGCCGGGGGCCGCCGGTGGAGCTGCGCGGGGTGAGAGGCGCGGGGAAGGGGGCTGCCTGCTTCCCTCACCCTCGTCCCCCACCGGCGGGCCCCGGCAGGAATTCGGGAGCCGCGCGGCCAGGCCCTCTTAGCGCCCAGACATTTGGGGGGACAGGTGAACCCGCCGCCCTACCCGCACCCCGCCCCGCCTGGGCAGCTGAATCAGAGGGGACGACCCTGCCCTTTTAAGGAGGCTTTTTGTTGCTCCTGCGGAGGGCTCTCCCCCCACCCCGCCCCCCAGCCATGGCCTCCAGGAACCCCCTAGAACCCGCAGGGACTGCCCCCCATCCTGGCCGCCGGGGCCCGCCCTCTGCATCCCGCGGGCAGCCAGTGTGAAGCGGCCTCCTGCAGCCCCCGGCCCCTCCCCCATGGAGGAGGAGGAGGAGGGGGGGGGGACGGCCAAGGAGTGGGGCACGACCCCCACGGGGCCCGTCTGGACCGCGGTGTTCGACTACGAGGCGGCGGGCGACGAGGAGCTGACCCTGCGGAGGGGCGACCGCGTCCAGGTGCTTTCCCAGGACTGTGCCGTGTCGGGGGACGAGGGCTGGTGGACCGGGCAGCTACCCAGCGGCCGCGTGGGCGTTTTCCCCAGCAACTACGTAGCCCCCGGCGCCCCCGCCGCGCCCGCGGGCCTCCGGCTGCCCCAGGAGATCCCCTTCCACGAGCTGCAGCTAGAGGAGATCATCGGCGTAGGGGGCTTTGGCAAGGTCTACCGGGCCCTATGGCGCGGCGAGGAGGTGGCTGTCAAGGCCGCCCGGCTGGACCCTGAGCGGGACCCGGCAGTGACAGCAGAGCAGGTGCGCCAGGAGGCCCGGCTCTTCGGAGCCCTGAAGCACCCCAACATCATTGCCCTCAGAGGCGCCTGCCTCAGCCCCCCACATCTCTGCCTGGTGATGGAGTATGCCAGGGGGGGCGCACTGAGCAGGGTGCTGGCGGGCCGCCGGGTGCCCCCTCATGTGCTGGTCAACTGGGCTGTGCAGGTGGCCCGGGGCATGAACTACCTACACAGTGATGCCCCTGTGCCCATCATCCACCGGGACCTCAAGTCCATCAACAGTAAGTGGTGTCCTCCCCCCAAAACTTGCTTCCACAGAACCTTGTGAGGTCGAGCGTAGGTGGCGGGAAATGGGGACACCAGTAGACGCTGCCTAGGGCGAGAAGGGGCAGCAGTATACCTTCCGGGCCAAGTGAGGCAGGCCTTGCCCGTTAAGGGAGGAAAAGGAGGCTCAAAGGTTGAGGGACCACCTGTCCCCCAGACTACGGTCACAGTAGCTCAATAAATATGACTGGCCCTGCACTCCTAGCATAAAACAGCACAGATGCAGGGCCTGCCCTCAAGGCATCGACGGTCCAATCCTGATGCCAGAGTCCGCCAGGCGGAGACAGAAAGAACCTAGCCTGGAGTTGGGGTTTCTCAGCCTCCGCACTATTTACATTTGGGGCCGGATGATCGTAGGAGGCTGTTTAGCAGCCTCCTTGGCCTCTACCTGCCAGATGCCATGGGCATCCCCCACCCCCATCCCCAATTATGATAACCGAAACTTGTCTCCAGACATTGCCAAATGTCCCCTGGGGAGCGGGGGAGAGGGTAAAGCCACCTCCACCTGAGAACCACTTCCTGGAGTACTCCCAGGCCTCTGCCCCAGCTAGCCGAGGCAAAGTGGAGGTGAGGGAGGAGGAAAAGGGATGTGCCTTACGTAAAAAGCTTCCAGGCTGCCTGGCTTATCCCAGGCTCTCAGAAGTTGATTGGTTGGTTGAATGGGAACTGGGGCCAGGCAGAAGGGAAGGCTCCCCAGGACGCCCACCTAGACCCAGGAGCTTCTCCTGATGTTAGCACATATTAATTGAGCACCTATTCGCAGTGGTTTCCACCCTTAACCGTCCTCACAAACTGAAGATTTCATTCATGCCTCACATATTTCCCCACGCGCCTGGGGTATGCCACACCCTGCCCTGGGTCCTAAGTATATGACCCGGGAAAAATCCCACCTTCCTGGCTCTCCTCCCATCCTTCCTCTGCCCCACCTCACTCCCTTTCCTTTTGACACTGATGTATTCATTCTTTTCTTTTTTCATTTGGTGTTTGCTGGGCCAAGTCATGCGCCAAGGAGAGAGCTCAGCAGTGAATGAGGCCAACGTGTGCCCTGCCCTCACCTGAAATGTGACGGGTTCCCCTTTGCCCTCACCTTTGGACCCCCACATCTCATCTATTTCTGATTCCTGCCAATTCCACACCTTGACATTTGTTTGAATCTATCCCATTTTTGTGTGTGTGTGGGGGGGGTTTTTTAAAGATTTTATTTATTTATTTATTTGAGAGAGAGAGAGAGAAACAGCATGAGAGGGGAGAGGGTCAGAGGGAGAAGCAGGCTGCCCGCTGAGCTGGGAGCCTGACGTGGGACTCGATCCCAGGACTCTGGGATCATGACCTGAGCCGAAGGCAGTCGCTTAACCAACTGAGCCACCCAGGCGCCCTGTGTTTTTGTTTTTTTTTTACAATTTTGTTGCTCTGCCCCCTCCCCCGCCCCCACCACCGGCAAACCCCTGCAGCAGAGGGATGTGTGTTCCTTACCTTCCAGGCCTCGCATTTGGGCACTAACAGAGCTGCCAGGAGCTCGAGGGGTGCCAAGCGCTGTGCCAGGGCTGGGGAATGGAGCGGGAGACACAGAAGGCTTCTGCCTTCCCTGATGCTCCAAAATGCTGGGCAAGTGGACGCAGGACGGGCAGCATGCTCCTCTTGAAGGCTGAGCATGCTCTTCTTGGCCCTTCCTCATCCCTGCTGATTCAGCAGCCTGAAGGTGGGGTGTAAGGACACACACCTGTGCCCCCAGGGTTTCCTGTAGCCAGTGTCACCTGGACATAGGGTTGTTGGGGCTCTGTAGGCCAGGGCTGCCTGCCCCGGCAACGGGACAGCTCCATGCCTGGGACAGGTCACAGGGCCTCCGCAGGAGCCCCTCACCCGATGTCGCTCATACGCTGGTTCATTCAACCAGTAATTTGGAAGCAAAATTAAGTGTACAGGCCCCGTCTTAAGCTCTGGGATTTCAGAAGTGAACCAGGCAAGATCTCCCCATATGGAAGTTAGAGGCTAGTAAACAGAAGTTGATGATCGATATTTAGATAGATAAGTAGATAGATAGATGACAAAGTTTCCGGAGAGTATCAGGGGCTCTGAAGGAAATAAAACAGATCAAGGATGAGGCAGAAGGAGCTCTTTCAGTCAGATGGTCAAGGGAGGGAATCCTGGCGCAGAGACCTGAACAAAGACGACCAGGCCTTGTGAAGGTCTGGGCAGGGCCAAGGTCCCGATGTGGGAATGAGCACACCTTGTTGGAGAAACAGGGAGGAGACCAGAGGGGTTGGAAGAGGAGAAATGAGGCAGAGTTAGGAGATGAGGTCAGAAACGTAGGCAGGGCCCAGATCAGGATGACCCTGGGGGTGATGATGAGGATTTGGGGTATTTTATTCAATGCCATGGAAGCCATTAGAGGGTTTCTAAGCAGGGGGTGACGCAGATGGGAGATGCAGAAATGAAGTGTGAGACCATAGTGTGTTCCCTCTATCGCAGGGTCACCCCACAAACAGGAGAGGTGGGGACCCAAGAAGGGAGGGATGGAGTCACATGCTAGAGAGTCGAGGGAGGCCTCTGGGCTTTCATGATAGTAGAAATAGCTCGCCATTATGATGGGAGAAGTAGCCAGGAAGGGTCAAAGATCCAGGTGGAGAAATAAGGGCCAATTTTGGCGACATCATGCACTAATAAAAATAGCTAACATTTTGTAAGGACGTGTTGTTGCTTCAGGCCATAAATCCTTCTTACAACCCTCTAAGATAAATATGACCACCATCTCCATTTAACAGAGGAGAAATCTTCGCGTTAAGAAGAATACATTAACAAGGTTATGCAGTTAGTAAGTGGCAAAGCTGGGATTCAAACCTCGGCAGGACTCTGCACACTTTGGGGCCTCTGTTTGACAGAAGCTGGTAGAATGTCATAGCAGTTAAGAGATTGGGCTCTCAGGTCAGATCTCAGCCAGGTCTTTGCTGCACAGTTTTCTAGCTGTGTGATCTTGGCCAGGGGACTTCATCTCTCTGAGCCTCAGTTTGTCAGTCGATAAAACAGGCTGCTTTCTAGTTAATTCATGTGAAGGGCTTAGCACAGTGCCTGCCATATAGTGAGTGGGCTGCTGGTAAACACCAGCTATGATTATAATTGTTGTTCGTAACAATCCCAGGCAGCAAGTTGGAGCCACTTGATATGCTTGGGGGATATATCTGTCCGATTTTGTCACTGTACTGCTGCGAAACAAGCCACCCCCAAAACTCAGTGTCTTAAAGCTTGATGTCATTTATTACTGCTCACACATATGCACGCCTGCTGGAGGGTAAGCTGATTTAGGCCGGGCTCAGCCGGAGAGGCTTGACTCCAGCTATCTCCCATGTACCTTGGACCAGCAGGCTAGCCAGGCATGGTCTTGTGATGGCAAAAGCACCAGAGGGCAGGCAGACGGGTGAGGCCTCTCAAGGCCCAGGCTGGGAGCTGGCATTCTGTCACTTCTGCCTCATCCTGTTGACCAAAACAAGTTACATGGACAACCCGAAGTAAAGGAGGGGGAAATACACTCTGCCTGTTTCGGGGAAAGAAATGCACAGTCACGTGGCGAAGAGTGTGATGCTGCAGAAAGGAGTAGAACGGGGGGGCCCCCCCGCATGCAATTTGTCACAAGGGGTGACAAAGACAAAGGAGAACCACATTCATCCCTTCTGCTCATGCTCTGTAGTTCCCACCTCTGGGCTGGCTGGGAATTCAAAGCCTGGACAAAGGAGAACCAAGGTGTTGGATACCGACCTTGCGATGAGCTCCCCAGAGCCTAGGCTGGAGTCAGGAGGGTAGTGGACCCAGGGGAGGCCCCCTCCCCCCTCATGGGAGCCCCAGGGCAGGGACTGGACAGCATGGAAGGGTCCGCGGTATTCCAGACCAGGAAAGGAGCCGCCGCAGAGGGGGCAGCTCGAGGTGGGGGAGAGAACAAGTAGGAGATTCCAGCCAAGGCAGGGGCCAGGACACTCGGGTCTGCAGCCCAGAAGCTCTGGGGTGACCTGCCTTTCTTCCTCACCCCCCAGTCCTTATCCTGGAAGCCATCGAGAACCACAACCTCGCAGACACGGTGCTCAAGATCACAGACTTCGGCCTCGCCCGCGAGTGGCACAAGACCACCAAAATGAGCGCTGCGGGGACTTATGCCTGGATGGCTCCAGAGGTTATCCGTCTCTCCCTCTTCTCCAAAAGCAGTGACGTCTGGAGGTGCTGACGGGGGCGGCTGGGGAGTCCTGGCAATGGGGGAGGCGGGGGGGGGGTCAGAACGGGAGGGGCGGTCTCCCGCCGAAGTGAGGATCCGGGCCTGGGGGGCCCGCTGGCAAGGTCAGGCCCTCCAGGCACCAAAGCAGGCGTCTGCTCTGTTTGCGGAAGTGGCAGCTGAGAAGGACTCGGATTTGAGTGGAAAATTCCAAAGATCTAGAGATAGGGTGTCAGCACCAGGGCCCTCAGACACCATCCAGCACACCGCCCCACCTGTCAGCAGGAAATTGAGGCCTTTGGAGGCCTCTGTCCATCCATCCTTCCATCCATCTGTCCGTCCGTCCTCACTGGGTGCTAGGGATACAGCACCCTCCTGCCCACAGGGATAGTAAATAGGAAATAAACATACAGGAAAGCTGGGGAAATAGCTGGTTTCAAGTTTAAAAAGTCATAAAACAATTTTCAAAAGATAGTGAGCTAATCCCCCAGAACAAAGCATCAGATAGTATTAAGAGCCAGGAGGTTTGATCGAAAAGTCCTCTGAGGACCGGAGGATGACTTTAGGGAAGGCTTTTCTGGGAAGCGACCCTTGAGCTGAGTTTGGGCTGACAGGAAGGAGCCAGCCATGCACAGTTTGGGGGAAGAAGCTTCCCAGGCAGAGGGGACAGTGCCCACAAAGGAGACGCCGGCGTGAGAACGAGCTTGGTCCGTTCCAGATATGACTCAAGGCCCACGCGGCTAGCGCAGGGCAGGCAAGGAGAAAGGTGGTAGGAAATGACAGAGGAGAGAAAGCTGGACGAGGGACCAGACGCCGGGCTTTATTCTAAGTGCAGGGGAAAGCCGAGTGGCCTTTATGAACGGCATGGTCCGGCCGAGCATTGCAAGGCTCCCTGGGCTGTAGGATGAGGAATGCGTTGTAGGGGACAGGAGTAGTGGGGGCGAGAGGCCAGTGAGGAGGCTGTTGCCCTCACCAGCAAGACTGGATGGTGGCAGCTGAACCTCTTCAACCCCTGGCCTTCTCCTGGGAGGGAGCCAAACCCGGGTCAGTCCCCAGCTGAGGCACCAGATGGACCAACCAGCAGTCATGGCTTTGGGGCAGACAGATCAGACAGGAAGTCTCCATGAGAGCAGCGCAGCCTTTTGGGGAAGGTTCTGCGTGGCTTTACATTGAGGCATTCATTTATGGTACCAAACATTTAACAGAGCCAGGTCTCAGTGGCAAGGAGCAGAAAACCCCAAACGAAAACAAACGTAAGTTTCGGCTCGCATGTAAAGCCTGGGACCACTGTGGTGCCCCCCGCGACAGGAATTCAGGATCCTGGGGTGAGGGGGCGTTCCTCAACGGGGGTGTCATTGACATCAGGCAAGATCATTCTTCCTTGTATGGTCCCGCCCTGTACTTTTCAGGACACCAGGTATAGATGGTTCCTGGCCCCCAAACATCACTGTGGCCATCCAGACATCCCCACGGGTTTCCAGCGACGTGGGGAAGGTGGGGGGTAATGCCATGTCCAGCTGAAAGCCACTGTTACTGTCCTGTCCTCCACCTTACGTGGCCTCCGCTCCCAAGCTCACTTCATCATCCAAAATGGCTACTTGGGCTCCAGCTTTTAGGTCCACATTACAGCCAGTAGGAAGGACAGAAGCAGAAAAGACACCCCTTCTCTCTAAGGACACTTCCTGGAAGTGAGTTGCAGAGGACACACCCTCCCCCATCCCACTGGCCGGAAGTGTCACCACAGGGGCTTCCTTAGCTGCAAAGGAGGATGGAAAAGTATTTCATTTTTTTTTTTAAATGAGAAATGTTTTTTGGTTTTTTTTTTAAGATTTTATTTATTTATCTGAGAGAGAGAATGAGATAGAGAGAGAGAGCATGAGAGGGGGGAGGGTCAGAGGGAGAAGCAGACTCCCCGCTGAGCAGGGAGCCTGATGCGGAACTCGATCCCGGGACTCCAGGATCATGACCTGAGCCGAAGGCAGTCGCTTAACCAACTGAGCCATCCAGGCGCCAGATGGAAAAGTATTTCAGACAGGATGCACACAACTCAGATTCGCCAGCGCTGGTCCTGAGAAGGGAGGCCACCAGCTGTAGGAGAGCGGACGTTGTGTCCATCTTGCTCCGGGGCCTAGAACAGTGTCTGGCGCCCTGCAGATGTGTTTCTATGTCGAATTAATGCACGTGTGGATGTGGGGGAGCCCGGGGACCTACTGCATGCCGGGCGCTGCACAAAATGGTCATTAGGCTCCCGAGGGAATTCAGATGGGCCCGCAGGTGACTAGCAGAGTGGTGCACGCCCCAGTGTTGTGTATCCATGAAGGGCACTGCCATGGGCACATCAAGCAGGCCTGAGTCCAAGTGTGGACTGAGACCTGTCCACTTAACTAGCTGTGTGACCTTTGGGCAGACAACTTAACCTCTCTGAGCCTGCACCTGCTCGTCGGATAAAACGGGGGTCATACCAATACCTTCTGCCTTACAGGGCTGTTGTGAGGATTACTGAGAGCGCCTAGCACAGTGCTGGCCTGGAGTAAGTGCTTTATAAATGTTAAATAGTGTTAACTTGTTTTTAGAGGTAAGTGCCGAGGGTTCTTCTGGGAACACAGAGGAGGGGACTCTAACCTAGCTTTGGAGGCTGTGGAATCAAGGAAGCCTTCCTAATAGAGAGGGCACCTGAATTCTGACTTAAAGGACAGTTACGCAAAGGGAAGGATGTTCTCGACAAAAGGAACAGCATGTATGAAGCCAGAGGTTAGGAAGAACGGGGCTTGTTCAACTTGTTCACTGTGGCTACAAGCTGACGCTGGGGTTGGTACAGGGGCGAGAGCGCTTAGAGGCAAGTCTACAGTGGTCATCAGAGGTCAGGGCTAAGAAAAGTGGCTTTGCCCCGTGGGCACAGGGGACACACTGAAGGTTTTCAGGTAGGGGTGAGGGGAGAGAGAGCAAAGGCAAGACGTGAGAGAGAGAGCCAACCCCACAACACCCATTTGAAATCAGGCCAGCAGAAGTCAGTCACGTTCTTGTGGCCTCATTGGGGGATGTTGGGGTGAGGGAGGCCCACCAGGGGACCGGAGGCAGGGCTGGGGTGTAGGTGAGGATTGGGGTGGGATGCAGCATCACCCCTCCCTCTTCCCCACCTGCAGCTTCGGGGTGCTGCTCTGGGAGCTGCTGACGGGTGAGGTCCCCTACCGTGAAATCGACGCCTTGGCCGTGGCGTATGGCGTGGCTATGAACAAGCTGACGCTGCCCATCCCCTCCACGTGCCCCGAGCCCTTTGCCCGCCTCCTGGAGGGTGAGCCAGGGCCCTGTGGAGATAGGCTCAGCTCGGGCGGCAGGGGCCCTCGGGCCAGACCTCACCCCTTCACACCCATCCATCCCAGTGGGTCCAGGAGTGAGGGAGAAGGGGCCACAACCATCGGGCCACAAACTGCCTCCAGGGACCCCAAACTTTTGTTCTGACCAGGCCCACAGCTCCTGAGGGCAATCTGTTAGCATTCACTGGCCCCAGGATTCCTCCCTGATTCTTGATTCTGCCACACGTGAGGGAGTGGGTCCCCAGGTTTCTCTCCCAGAGTTTCACTGAGTTCAATGTTGCCAGGAATTTGGCTCTACATTCCTTCCCCTCAGCTCCATGGAAGTTGTCTGTCCACAGTCCCCTGAAGTCCTGCCTGCCACAGAGCAGGCTGATGCCCCAGAGCACGGCCACTGACATCTCCCCTCCCACCGCTGTCCTCCCCACCCCAACCCCCACCCCAGAATGCTGGGACCCAGACCCCCACGGGCGGCCAGATTTCGGCAGCATCTTGAAGCAGCTTGAAGTCATTGAACAGTCAGCCCTGTTCCAGATGCCACTGGAGTCCTTCCACTCGCTGCAGGAAGACTGGAAGCTAGAGATTCAGCACATGTTCGATGACCTCCGGACCAAAGAGAAGGTGAAGGCAGGGGATAAAGTGGGAGGGGTGGAGCGAGCTCCTGCATTCTGGTGCCTTTGGTGGGGCAGAGGCCCCTCCCCTGAGCCGCAGTCTTTGGGTCCATGCAGAGCCAAGGCGGCCTTCTTTGTATATTAAGGAAAGACAGCCTGTTGATGGATTAATAAGAAAAGGCACCCTGCACTGACGTTCTTACAAGTGATACCACCTGATGTGTGGGATCGGTTCTAAAACACAACAGCCAAAATGGGAGGGAGGGAGGAGACAAGGAAGAAATGACAAGAAAAAAAGGATTTGCAAAGTATAAATAAGTTGTTGACCTCGAATGATGAGTACACTGGGGGCTCTGTCTCTGCTTTTGTGGGTGTTTGAAGTTTTCCAAACTGAGGAGCCAAAAAGTTAAAAATCAAAGGGGTCAAAATCAAGCCACCCCTTTCTTTGTGCAAACAGCCCCGTGTCCTGGCACCCAGCTGGGCTGGTAAAGAGTGAGCTGCCCCACGTGCAGCCCCGGGTCCATGGGGGGCGGGGCAGGGGGAGGAGATCGGTACGGCCCCTGTCCCCAGCCGCCCATCTCCTCCCCAGGAGCTCCGGAGCCGGGAGGAGGAGCTGCTGCGGGCCGCCCAGGAGCAGCGCTTCCAGGAGGAGCAGCTGCGGCGGCGGGAACAGGAGCTGGCGGAGCGCGAGATGGACATCGTGGAGCGGGAGCTGCACCTGCTCATGTGCCAGCTGAGCCAGGAGAAGCCCAGGGTCCGCAAACGCAAAGGCAACTTCAAGCGCAGCCGCCTGCTCAAGCTGCGGGACGGCGGCAGCCACATCAGCCTGCCCTCCGGTACCGCCCCCGCGCCGCCCCCGGAGGCCGCCTCGAGCCGTCGCACGCAGGCTTTGCCTCTTCCTTTTAGTTTGTAAACGTTTTTTCCGTGCTAAATATATCACCCACGTGGAAAAGGACCAGAAAACAGCTTCAGGAGCGCATATAATCGCCCGCATGAAGGCGGAGAGAACCGCCATCCACCCCTCCAGATGCCCTCCTCATGCCCCCTCCAAACAGCCCCTGCCACCCCCTGCCCCAAGAGTAACCTCTGTGATGACTTTCAGGGCATTCACTCCTCTGCGTCTCTTGATTGTTTCGTCTCCCACCTATTTTTTTATAATTATCTTTTAGTCTGCTGCTTTCTCCCCGCTTGCCAATAATTTGTTGAGGAACATCATTTATCCTGCGGCATCTCCCACGGGCGGGAGCGGATGTTGCGGCTTGCATCCCGCTGTCATCCTTAACGCACCCCTCCGTCCCCTGAATTTCCTATAAAGTGGTATTAAACCATGTGAAATTGCTGACGTTCAGCCCTTTTTGTTTCACGTGGCTTAATCAGTTTCAGGTTCAGGTTTGGGCTCTTGTTTCCCCACAGCCTGCTTCCTAGGCACTGTTAACAGTGGTAAGGCCCATGATGTCTGCTCGACTCTCTCTCTGGGACATTAGAAGCCATAGTGCCGCGCCCAGAATAGCACTGGCCAGCAGAAATCTAATGCGAGCCACACGGTGAAGTTTTAAATCTCCTCATAGCTGCCTTAAAAGCTGGAGAGAGAAACAGGTGCCATTGATTTTAACAATATATTTTATTTAGCCCAATATATGCAAAACGTTACTGGGTCCCATGCAATCAACACAAGAAACACCGTTAGGGATTTTACCTTTTTTCATACTCCACCTTTGAAACCCAACGGACGTGTTACAGTTACAGCGCATCTCGGTCCAGGTGCTAAATTTTCATCAAAAAATACTTGACCTGCATTTGGATTTCATGAAATTTACAGTTGAGAAAGTAGATTCTCTTTCTCTCTCTCTCACACACACACACAAGTAGATTCACATACCCAAATTGTTCAAAACACGCTTCAATGTTTTCAATAACAGAGCTGAGTATCTGTTTTTAGTTTAAATTTAAATTCATTGCAACCACACAGATGAAGTTTAAACTCTCCAGTTCCTCAGCTGCAGTCCCACATGGCAAGTGCTCCGTGGCCACATGTGGCTAATGGCCACCACGTTGGACACTTAGCCCTAGATCCGTAGTCAATCCTTAGTTAATTAAGGACCCAATTAGGATCTTGCCTCTCAACCTCGCACATACACCAGACATCTCTGGCCGGCTCGTCACAGTTACAAGGCTGCCCTTCACCTCGGAGTTGCCGATGCAGAAGGCCCAAGAGTGAGCACCCCCCACCCCCCACCCCCGGTCTCCAGGTGAGATGGGCAGTTTGGGAATGCAAAACTGGCATTCCCATCCAGCACTCCTATCCTTCTACAAAGGGACCTTCTCTTTGGTTACCCACGATGCTGTTTGCTCAGGAAAGTCTCTTTCTTTTCGCAGGCTTCGAGCATAAGATCACAGTCCAGGCCTCTCCAACCCTGGACAAGCGGAAAGGATCCGACGGGGCCAGCCCCCCCTCGAGCCCCAGCATCATCCCCCGGCTGAGGGCCATTCGCCGTGAGTATCTTCCCAGACCCTGATCCATCAGTCATCAACGACCTTTCTCTGTGCACATACCATACGCTGAGCCGGAGGACCGACAGGGACAAGACAGGCAGGGTCCCCTCCCTGATTCGCATCGGGGAGTCAGACCATAAACAAGCCAACAAGTCCGTAAGCGGGACAATTTCCTGCAGCGATAAGCGCTGTAAAGGAAAGCAGGGAAGGGAATAAAAGAGCAGAATGGCTGTTTGACCTCAGGAAGGTGGTGTAAGGACCTGGGGTTTGAGCAGGGACCTGCGGGCTGAGAAGGAGGGAGGAGGGCCAGGATCTGAAGGAAGTATGTCCCTGCCAGAGGGACCGGCAAGGGCCAAGGGGGGTGGGGGGGTGGGAACCAGCAAGGGAAGGGTCCCGTCTGCAGTTAGAATCCAAGGTCCCTTGGACTTGTTGGTGGAGGGCGGATCCGAGAGTGAGGTAGGGAGCGCAGCGGGCACAGACTGGCCACCAAGTGGCTTCTCTGGGCCCAGTGACTCCTGTGGACGGTGGTGGCAACAGCAGTGGTGGCAGTGGGACATGGGGCCGCAGTGGGCCCCCAAAGAAGGAAGAACTGGTTGGAGGCAAGAAGAAGGGCCGCACCTGGGGACCCAGCTCCACCCTGCAGAAGGAGCGGGCTGGAGGGGAGGAGAGGTACTTGCCACTGGCAGCCCACCGCGGGCCCTGCCCCTGCCCCCCCCCCCCCCCAACCCCCGTGGCCAGCAGGTCGGCACTGCAACCCCCTCCCCCATCTCTGGTGCCCCCTGCAGGCTGAAGGCCCTGGGGGAAGGAAGCAAACAGTGGTCATCTAGCGCCCCCAACCTGGGCAAATCCCCCAAACACACACCGATCGCCCCAGGCTTCGCCAGCCTCAATGAGATGGGTAAGAGGGTGAGGGTGCCTTTAAAATGGAGAGGGAGGGGCATCCGGAGGGAAACATCGCCCGAGAGGAAGAGGTGACCGCTCCCTTCGGGTTGGGGGGTGGGGAGGGAGCCGACGGCACTGGACCCGTGGGTCGGCAACATTCCTGGAACGGGGGGGGGGGGGGCCGCCCATGGGTGCAGGGGGCTCTGTGGGGGAAAGACTGGCGGGACTTGGTGGCCGCACTGCCGGGAGGGTCTTTCGGGGCAGCCCCCTCGCCACCAAGTCCCCTGGGGGCCGCGGGGACAGCGGGGGCGGCGGCCAGCCCCGGAGGCGAGTGACCGGCCCTCTCCCGGTTGCAGAGGAGTTCGCGGAGGCGGACGGAGGCAGCAGCGTGCCTCCCTCCCCCTACACCACCCCGTCCTACCTCACGGCGCCGCTGCCGGCCGAGCCCTCCCCGGGGGCGCCCG